ATATATATATATATATATATACTTGTATATGGTTGCTGGGCAAGCAACGTAGTTGTACATATTCTTCAGATGTAGATGTGTATATTTTATATTACTGTTTCAGTATATGTATATGCATAATTAGTTGTGTTGTGACGGCTATGACGGGTCGTTACATTTAGTATAGATAAAAATAATTTTTTAGTGACACATATTATGTTATTACAGAGTATGTGTTGCTATATGACAATTTCTTTTATAGTATTTAAATTACTAGGATAACTACATCTGAAATATAGTTAGTTTTGGTATTTGTTGAACTGTCACAATAATCTTTAAAAAAAGTGTCTTAATAGTTAAAGAAAAAAGATCAAATACTTATAAACTTTAGTCTTAATTAAAAAACTCATTTTAATATATTAAAAAAAAGTCTCATATTACTTATTAAAGGGAGACCGAATTTTTTTCCACATTATAATTATTTAACTATTTAATTTATGACAAAATATTATTTAATAAATACAAAAATATTTATTAAAGTTTGTCAAGAGGGAGAGTTCAAGGCCTACACCTAGCTATTCCCACTAATCATCGGGTGAAATGAACACAAATTGATTTTGAGGTTAATTATCTAATTCATATTAGATCATTATAAATCACGTTAAAAGCTAACATTGATTTTGAGTAGTATTTTGGTTGTATTACAAAAATTATAAATTTTTACTACTTACTTGAATTTAGAATTAAAACACTCAAATACAAATTACTTCACTTTAATCTTAACCAAAATACAAATTAATCTTAACTAAAATCAATTTTACAAACACTCACTCAAACATAGCCCTATAGTGTGTAAAACACGTTAAAAATCCATTCAATGTGAATATATCTAATGTTGTACAAATGTCTAAACAAATTGACATTAATTTACCCTTTATTTGACATTTTTACAAACATTCATCCTAACACAGCCCTATCCAATTTTAGCTATTTATATGAGAGAAGAAATATAAATGAGAGAAGTTAATTTTATATTATGATGCCTATCAAAAAACACTTCCTCCCAAATTAGTATGAAATGAAAGGTAAAGCATACACAGATCGTCAGACCCAGCCTCCAAGTACCATTTTAATAGATTATACACAACTCATAATCGATTAAAATGATCTTGCAAACCCAACTTATTCATTTTTCTCACTCCCAAATGGAGCATTAATCTAACAAATAATTAATCCTTTATAATTAACAATTAACATTGATAAGAGTTGAAGCCATTTGCTTTTGTCCATTATAACTAAGATGCCATCCATGGTGAAAACTCACATCAAGTACCAAGTACGATGGCATCTTGCCGTTTTGTGAAACCATGGTGCTAGCGTGCGAGGTCATGTCAGTACCACATGATTGTTGTGGCCACAGTAGTACTATTGCAACATGCATGTGTCAAGATTACCAGCTATGTTATGACATCATTTTATGCCAAAGTTGTGTGAGTACAATTTTCATAATTTCATGCTTCCAAACCACTGAATATTTTAACCGTTTAATCACATATACATCATTAAATCCACTTTTTTATCATCACTTTCTCTCCACTCAATCATCTTTTTCTTCCCATCATTTTTTTTTTAATCTTTTTACTCTTTCTCGAAACAAAGTGGAAGACAAAGCAAGGTTCACACCAAGGAGGAAATAAAATACAAGGAAAAAGATCACAGATAGATAGGTACATTTATTTTCTTGTTTGGAATTCAAGTTAAAGAGGTGGATTTTCATGTTGCTGTTCCCTAGTCCTTTGGCTTCCATGAAAAATATGATATGTCTCACTCAATTCCCTACCCTCTCCCACTGCTATGAGTACTTTTCAGGCTTTTGATTTAAAATCTAGTGCACAAGTACCTCTGGTCCTGTGCATTTCAATCAAATATTTTAGTGATAAACTAACATTGAGCGCAGACCAACCTAAGCTCTATGTTTAAGTATGTTTGTTTGTTACTCCTAGTAACTACTATATTGGGAGTGAACAATATGAGAACTTGTTAATTTCCCATGTTAGATTAGATTAGTTGTGAAGTGTGATGCAGTTAAAAATGGATTTAACAAGATTTCTGATTCCAATGATCCAGTTGGAAAAATTCTCTTCATGTCAAGCCTAGTGTCAAAGTCCAAACTAGCCCTGCTGCTACTACCTTTCGGATTCCGTTTTTAATCATGCACACTTTGCATGAAGTCATTTGTCATATCATATTTATTTTTCTGTTAACAGTGGTTGATTGAAGGCGTGGGATGGCTGTGCATGTGATATGGGTCCTTCACCTGCGTATCAGAAATCACATCAATAACAAGAACAATCAAAAGTGAAAAATCTTTCTCTTCCAAATTGTAATTCCTTGAGCACCATTAGATAAAAGCATTTACCACAAAGGAACCTGGAGTTATTTGACAACAATGTCACTTTCAACACACCATCATGCAAAATCAATCCCCACCTTCCCACTTACTACAAGAATTGAGATTTAAACTTTGCTTTATTTGTTTATCATTACAGACAAAATACTTCTCCATGCATTACTCCCCCACCCTATGCTAACTAAAGCACACAACTAACAAAATGAAGCCTGTGGTCCATACCCCTTCCCCCTTCTTTTTCTACCTTTTTGGCTCCCTATAAACTCCCTCTTCCACTCACAATGCTCCCAAAGACAAGGCACTCCCCGTTTTCTTCTTCTTCATCATCATTGTCAGCACTCAGAATGGAGATCAAGAGTGGAGAGAGGAGGCAAGTGTCAATTGAGAAGGTGAGGAGAGACAGCACAGTTGAAGTGGAAGATGAAGAAGAGGAGGATGAGAGTGTAGCTTGTGGTGAGGGTGGTCTTGGAGAAGATGAGAAGAAGAAAGGTGGTGGAGGGTGTGGGAGAAGAGGGTCAAGTGGGGGTGGAGGAGTTTCTCCACCTTCTTGTCAGGCAGAGATGTGTGGTGCTGATTTGACTTTTGCAAAGAGGTACCATCGCCGCCATAAGGTGTGTGAGCCTCATTCCAAGGCTCCTTTTGTGATGGTTGCAGGACTGAGGCAGAGGTTTTGCCAGCAATGTAGCAGGTGTTTTAATCCCTCATCTAAACTAAAGCATTTGTGTTGCCTTTAGCATTTTCACCACATATGGCAGAATTGATCATGCTTTTCCATCATGTGTTTATAGTTTTGAAACTAAGCATAGTACTACTTTTGAAGTATTCCTTCACAATTCAAACTTAGAACAGACTTCTTATAAATAAAAGCATGCCTTGATCAATTGGCTGCCTAAAGAATTTGGACCCGGTGGTGTTGTGTCACTTAAGAAACAATGTTTCATGCATACATCAGATACATATTAAGAAATTGAACTTCAGTGCTTACTGCTTAGACCTTCTCACTTATAAAACAAAGGAGCTGAAGTGTCAACTATTTCAAAGGACTGCTTCCATGCATTTGCCTTATTAGAAACCTGTGATGAGTCTGTGTAGCTGTGTAGGTTCCATGAGCTAGCAGAATTTGATGAAGCTAAAAGAAGCTGCCGGAGACGCTTAGCCAGGCACAACGAGCGGCGCCGGAAAAGCAATGCTGAAAATTGCAATGAAGGGTGCAGTGGCAACAAAGGACAGCAACCTACAGAAAGCCACTGCAGAAATGCTGATGACTGGGGAAGAATACAAATGAATATAACTAGGAATTCTGGTTACAATTCCTTTCATATAATATAATGTGTTCATCAGCAGGCTCCCTCTCTTCTGTCAAAGGTTCTTTGCATGCCAAGGCATATAATAAAAAAAGGCCCCTTTTTTTGTTGTTACCAGAATAAGCATCTAAACCAGAATGAAAAACTCCCTACATGAAAAGGTGGTGTGTTATGTAAATTAGTTCATTTCCCTGTATGCTTCTGTGTGCGTTGCTTACAATATAAGTATCCTATTGTACCACCCTTAGAATGGATTACCCCAATTTCCCCTTCATTAGAATAAAATTTATTGCTTCTTTGCGTAAAATTCACGTATCTCTTTCAATTATTTCTATACCTCGTTTATGCTATGTTAACAAACTCAATATCCGTTTCTTAGGATGCATTCGTTTCACTTTACCTTGATTATCTCCACTCTATAGTTGTAACCTTTATTTGCATCACCAGTAAATAAAATGGTATAGTAGCTCAAAAGGGTGACAAACATGTTCCTTCTCTGCTCGTGTCAATGATTTATATGCTTATGTTACAGCAAATCCATCACCCTCCTTCCTATTTATGAAGATATATCGTTAAGATCACACCCAGTTTCGTTCTGAAAAATAACAAGAAACTGTGAGGTCCCCAAACTCTCTAGATTCCAGTCATCCACCAAAGATATAGGAGTGTGGGAGCAATACAAGCCAATGACTCAATCTAAAACATTATTAAAGGCCTAGGCAGTGATCTGAAGTCATCTTTCAGGATCATTGACATTGGCATAACTTCCTTGCAAACTCACAGAATAAACTGTAGTTTGGTCTGCATAATCAGAATGCACATCTTTCCCACGTTGTTACTTCAAATAACACGTTGTCCCAGTTAGTTTGCATGAAAGACTCAACATAATAACACCACCTGATGTCTATCTAGCATTAACATTACACCAAATTATATGTTACACTTGCAAATTTGTGGAACAAAGTCTACCAAGTGAGTCTTGTGATCACTGAAATTTCACAACAATGCACGAGATATCATCCTTGCTTTTCCTGTTAACTGCTTCTTCAGTAAGGCGTTTTGCTGAAGACCGAGCATCCTTTATATTTCTGATACAATTAACTGCTTCTTGATTTGACATTACCTGGAATAATTTGAATAAACAGATTCGAACATTAGATAAATAACCATGTGTACCAAACATGACTCGTGGGTTTCATATATATATATATATATATATATATAAGGACTTTTAGTACGAGAGAGTAATAGGAGGGAATCTTAACCATAGGATAAAATCATAAAGCATCATATGATTAAATCACAAAGTCATTTGACTTTTTTAAATAGTCATGTGATCACAAATAACTTCAAATCTTAACAATTCATGCGTAGTTATATAGTTCAGATTTACTTCTCTAATTCTTTCATACAAACACTCTCTTTAACACGCTTTGCAATTTCTTTTATTGGTTAAAAATCATTAAGAATTACGAAATAATTATAGAGATCCATTAAACAGGATGTGAAATATATCTAATTTTATGATTTTCAAAGAAATTTCAACCAGTAAGGTGCTTGCATCATGCTTCATTTATGAAAATTTGACCTTCCATAATCCATCACTGGCTAATATAACTAATTCTGCATCATCATCTATCCCCTCCAGTGTCACATACGGCTCTGAACTCAAGTGTTTCTTCAAGCTTTTGTCACCAAATGCCCTTGACACTGCCAGCCGTCCATCAACCCGTGGAACATCCCCTGAAGTGATGACAAAAGTTGTATCCTTTAGCACTGGAACAAAGTCTATCCTGCTCTAAGTGAACTTTTTAGAGCAAGCAATTCAACTAGATCAGAAAAGCATTGAGAATATTAGCTCTCTGAGCTACAAGTCCTACAAAGGCTAACCTAGTGGAACATTTTAACAAGTTCAATGAAAAATTATATGCATTTTAAATTATCATACCTGGAAAGTTTGATACAAAACCACCTCTATTTTTTATGTCCTCGTGTTCTGTGATTGGCTCATGATCCACTGATAGTTGTTTGGCCACACCTTTCTTGCATAAGACAGCCCTAGAGTCCCCAATGTTGGCTACTACTAACTTCTGACAATTGATTAGTATTGCTGTAACTGCAGTTGAACCCCCTCTACCCAATTCACCAGACATCTCTAAAATATTAGAATCAGTTACACTGTATGCTCTCTTCACAGCATTTGCAGGTTCTTTCCAGAAGTCAGGCTACATTAGACAAAAATATGATTGAACTTCTATAACACATAATCATTTTCTACGAAATTTTCAATTTGTGCTTCTGAGGATATGCCTGAAATTAATCTCCTCTACGATCAGCAAAAGCTGAAGATCATGCATTACCTCTTTTAAGATATTTTCAAACAAATGAGACCGCAAGTAATTAGGTACATTGTGACCCGCGTGGCCGTCAAATATTGCAAACAAACCCAATTCATTGTTATCTACTTGCTTAAATTCAGCAACAACATAATCCTCCATGTCATGATATGATTTTCCTTTTACCAAATGAAAGCCATGAGTTATGTTCTTTGACATCTTGCTCTTTCCTTTCCCTGAACCAGGGTCTGATGAACCCAAACCAACTTTTACCTGCAAGCAACAACAGACTCATGTCAAACGACTAATGCTGAGAAATGATAGATATGCAATAATTTATATAACATCATTTTTTGTGTCTATCTCTAATCTATCATTAATAAATGTAATTGGTGTACATAACTAATAGGGCATGTTTGGATTCAAATTGAAAAGTTACAAAACAGACATTCACGTGTTCCAATATTCCAAATAACAAAGCAACTACACCCATGGATTGGGAAAAATGTGGATTACATTGAACCCAACGTTTTTCCAAACACACACCAAGTCACACATAGTTGGTGATTGACCTTGCCATATATAATATCATGGTCATTAAGAATAAGGTGCATTCAATTGTGAAGGCTGTAAGCCACATGTAAAGTAATATGATCCAACCAGTGAGACCAGTATAGCCCTCCCACACTCTCCATTAAAACAAAAACAAAGCTTTATCCTACAAGATAAGGTCTACTACACGGATCACACAACCACATTCCCATCCTCTCCATTATATAACCAATTTATTATTTATAACATGATTGTTCGTTATACTTTAGGTTAGACTGTTAGAGCTATCAAAATGGCCCGGCTCCTCCAGTTAGCCTGACCTACGTGGGTCAGGGCCAAAAAGTCCATGGGCCTTAAATATTTAAGAAATTTGTTTATTGTTCAAAAGTTGACCTACCTCATTCAATATGATCTGTTTTCAATGACATAGCAATAGTTTTTACAACTTCCCTGGCAGAAGAAACTTAGAAAGCCCTCAATTTTTTTTTCTAGAACAGGTTTTGCAAAATTCATTGAGGAAAACCCGCCAAATTAATGACAAGGAATAAACCCTCATTCACTAATCACAATTTACACAGATAGATGATGAAACCAATTGAAGCATATATTTGACAAAGATACATGAGTTTTAGTGATATGGTTTCCCTACAGATAGGCGCTCGTCGCAGT